ATTAATCTAATGGAATCGCATCTTGTATTAAGAGCAATACTAATTAATCACCCAACTGAAACATTGCTCACTGGCTGAAGAGAAATCTTTCCGGTGTTGAGCCAGAGAGACCACTGAAAAAGACAAGGAAAGGACGAGCAGAGAACATTTTTCTTCCCCAAAACATGGTCTGGGGGGGGAACTGGGAGGAGAAGGCAAAGGGAGGAGTGATGTGGGCCGTGACCCACACATGACATCACACCAGGTCTGGGATCACCCACAGTCAATAGAGACAAAAGCCAAATTCCAGTGTTTTGCTGGTTTAGAGCTTTTGCTGTCAGCAAAATCCCCTCCTTGCTGTGCCCACAGGAGTTACGTTTTGGTGCAGATGGTTTCCCAAGACAAAGGCAGCTGTGGATAAACCAAGACCGTACTGAAACACAGGAGAACCTATATATATATATATATATATATATATTTTAAATCAATGTGATCTCCATTCATACTTGAACTTCAATAAATCTCAGAATTAACACCAGACCTGTTCTCTTTCTCCTTATTGCACACTTTCAGCCAGCGCCAGATGCCAAGATTTCAGGCTGTTTTAAGGAGAGCCACCTCAGGAGCTGAGGAGTCATGAACCTTATCGAAGCATCCTCCGTTGCCACCCATGACACCCATTAGGACGATGTTTGCAATTAAAACAGGGTTTGAAGGATTCAGACGGCCACCTGGGGCTGTCCCCGTGTCTGAGGAGAACATCAGGTTCATAGAATCATTGAATGATTAGAGTTGGAAGGGACCTTAAAGATCATCGAGTTCCAATGCCCTACTGTGGGCAGGGACACCTCCCACCACATCAGGCTGCTGGTCCAGCCTGGTTTTGAACCCCTCCAGGGGAGAGGACGGGGACATTGCCACACATCCTGCTCCACAGGTGGCCGTACCGAAGCCCCTGGTGTCCACCGTGCCCCAGTCCACCAGCCAGCACCTCCAACACTATCACAGAGAGCAGCCACCAACCCCATGGAACTGCCACCAAAGTGTCACAGGTAACGTCACACAAAGGACTTCAGCCCATCAGCCTCCAGTCGTGCAATAGGTGCTGGTTGGGGCTTATATAGGGGGGGGGGGAAAAAAAAGAAAAAAAAAAGGAAAAAAAGGCTAGGAAAAAAATCCAACCCCAACTCTGTCGGATCTGATTTTTCTTTCACCAAATTAGGGATTAATTATTCTTACGACACTCCGCGAAGGACCGAACTGCCTGGTGAGAGCACATTAAAACAGCCAAAAGCCTGGTGATGCACAGAAAGCACAGATCCAGGCTGTACCTCGGTGTGTGTGTGTGCCACACGCAGCTGCGGGGATGGAAGCGAGAGGAAAGGAGGAGTAATTGTTTGAAAAAGAAAATTAAAAAATTAAAAACCAAAATCTGTAGCTACCGCATAATTTGTTTTTTCATTAAGCAGCATCCGAGAGCAAGGGGATATTTGCTCTATTAAAAATGCTTATTTAAAAAATCCATTTGGAGTTGTCACGGTGTGTGTGTGCCACACGCAGCTGCGGGGATGGAAGCGAGAGGAAAGGAGGAGTAATTGTTTGAAAAAGAAAATTAAAAAATTAAAAACCAAAATCTGTAGCTACCGCATAATTTGTTTTTTCATTAAGCAGCATCCGAGAGCAAGGGGATATTTGCTCTATTAAAAATGCTTATTTAAAAAATCCATTTGGAGTTAATTTTTCCTCCTGAAGGCTGCTTTAAAAATCGATCTCCTCTGTAAAAGAGGAAAAAGCAGTATTTTTTCAAAACAGAGTTTTGTCTTTCATCCAAAGTTAAGGAAATGCAGCTCCTTGACAAAACCATACAATGCCAGATTGCAAGCACTGCCATTATATATGAAGATAATCGATTCATGGTACTTTTCAAGAGCTATTAATGTTAAGAATTACTTATTACACCCAATGAACATTATCAAAAATTAATAGTATGCATATTGCCATTATTTTGAAAGCCTCTGGGCCTTACAGAGCAAGTAATTTCAATTATTCAAAAATATTAATAAAGTAAAATTGAATATTTTTTAACATTTCTCTAATCTGTTTTTTTTTTTTTTTCATGTTTTGAGTGTGCAAATGCTGCTGCACATTGTGCTCTGCCTCTAAAAATGTACAACGTCCTCCAAGGAGAGGTTGGCCAAGGGAGACATCAGGGATCCCTGTCCCCAGGGGCAGGAGAGGTCTTTCCCAGCCACACTGAGTGCTCCTCCCGTACATACATGTACGCTTTACATGTATTTTTCATTTGAAAGGGCAGGTGAAATAATTTGAATTCAAGTATCCACTTGATGAACACTCACATTGAGGCACAGAGCTGCCTCTCCGGGTGGGAAGAGAGATGGACAGGGAGGGAGGAAGGTCTAAACCTTCTGTAGCTCCTTCCCCAAACTGGTAAATCCACACCTGATCAAGCAGCACAGAGCGTGGCTGGTCCCAGCTTCTCCCAGTTCACCCAGTCACCGCGGCAGCTCCTACCCCAGGTCCATCACCCAGTGCCATCAGTAGCATTCCCATCTCTGACTTGCCCAGCTCACAGGAGGTCGGTGCATCTTCACCAGTTACGGGCTGGAAGTACCTTTTCACCTTTTCCAGCCTTATTAACACTGCCTAAATAAAATTTAAAAAAAAAGAGACTTTACAGAACATCTTAGAGTTACTATTTTAAGAATCAAACCTGCCATCTCCTCCTGGAAAATGAAAACAACCAACTCTCATGGCCAAATTGCCACGTTGTGCTAACGAGGCCGGAGCAGCTCTCCCAGGCTGTCCCCTGCTATAGCCAGGCAAAATATAAAAGCAAGAGAAATTGCATTATCTTTGCGGGAGGAAAAAAAAAAAAAAGATGCTTTTCAATATAATTTGTGCAAGCAAGTGGCCTTCTCAGCAGCATAAGGTAAGCAGGGGACAAACAAGGGAAAAGTAGTACAAAGCAGCTTTCAGCGAGTGCTCGCTGATCTCTTTTAGGTGAATAAACAGCACCAGTGGCGATGGGTGAAATAGAATTTCTCTCTAAAAGAAGTTTCAAGGAAGGACAAAGGTAAAGGTCTCTAGGAAGCAGAGGAGATGGTTTTTCCATGCCCGTGGGGAGAAGCCCAGTGAGGGACGGGCTCCTGGCAGCACACCACCTTTGCTTTTCACACTCAACTTTCCTCCAGAGTCCCCCCAAAGCAGCAGCATCACTCCACAAAGCCAGGGAACAGCATCTTCCAACCCTTCACCCCCAGGATCCTCGGGCTGTCTGGCTGCCACACGACAGACAGAAACTCTCCAACAGCGGCACAAGAGTGGTCTCTGGTGGAAGCAGATCAGATCTACAGCGTTGCCACCAAACGCCTGGGAGCCCAAGGCAAAGACCTTCCTCCACAGCCACCAGAAGTCACCCCTTTTTCAGCCACGCCACCAGGTCAGCCCGACGCATTCCACCCTAAAATAAAACAAAAAAAACAAGTTCTCACGCACATTTTAGGACTGACTTTAGATCTTTTATCACACACCATCTGGCCGTACTCAGATCTGCCAGAAAACAGAGAACGGGAAAAGGGGCTTTTCTGAGGTATTTTCTTAAAGGTGGAGTTCAAAGCAACCGCAGTCCAAACCCTCGGTCCCACTCCAGAGCTGTCACACCCCGAGCAACCAACTTCTCAGCAGCAGATCAGGAGGGCAGCCAAGATCAAGAAAGGCAGCAAACAGCAGCCGAGGGCAGCAACACCACTAGTAAATGTGCAACCACAGGGAAAACACCAGAGCTCGGGTTCTTTCCCCAAAAACCAAGATTTCAGCCCACTCACGCTTACTTCAGAATTGAGATTTAGAAGCCTGAGCCCAGAAAAAGTAGCATTAGATGGGCAAAAAAAATACCACCCAAAACTTCAGAGGAACTTTAAAAGCATTAAAAAAATCCAGCCACTCGTGTTCAATAGGTATTTCCTTGTGACTTGGAGTGTGATCAAGACAAACAGAAAGTGCCCTGTCAGCTTCAACGGCCTTTGGATCAGGACTACAAACCAGAAACCAACAGGAAAGATAACGTCCATCAGAGAAAACAAATCCAGGAGAAAAGAAAATAAGAGGGGGAAAAAAAAAATAAAAATCAAAGCCATGGCCAGAGAGTTTGTTTCTACTTTCCTGTTTTTTAAACACAGCAGGAGTGATTCCCAGGGCACAGCTCTCCACAGACCACGAGCCCAGGAAGGCTCTCAGTGCAGAATTCCCACCTGAACCAGGTTCCTCACGGACCAGCCTGGAGAAAGTGGCATTTGGGAGCAGCAGCAGGGATTACTCAGTGCCACCACACTTCATGTCTTCATTCCACATCAAACCAGTTTCAGCACAGGCTGCTCCTCCAGTCATTACACAGAAAAAAGGAAGAGAGGGATTTGGGGAAAAGAAAGCAGCTCTTTTGTTTTGGAGGTGGGGTGTTGGGCTTTTACCCCTGCACTAAGGAGCCATCCCTTGCTCTAACTAGATGAAAATCCAGCGTATGTAAGAAGGCATCTCATGTCTAGTACCCAAGGCAGATGAAGGTGGCAAGAAAGCTCCCACCAGACAGTAATCCCTTCTCCAAACCATTAATTATTTTGTGTGATATGGCTGAGAAGTCTCACTTCCCCCAGGGAAAATAAAAGCTATTTCTTGCTCACCTCAGTTACACCTTGTGGGTGTCCAGAACTGGAGAACTGATCGGGGACTTCTGCTACTGAAGAGAGAGGCCTTGAGCTCTTTGGATGGGCCAAATCAGGCGCAATTTGAATAAAAGCCACAAATCTGCTCATACGCAGATTTTGGATATATTTTTCCTTACTCACCCCTGCTCCCAGGTCTCCCTCAACTGCAGTTTCCCTGCCTGGTGTAATGGGAAACATCAGAAATACACAAATTCATCTTTGCCCTGCGCTTGGGAGATCCCCTGCAAGCTTCATGATGGCCTTACGAGAACTACACAACAAGAAAAACACACTTAAAAGTGGTCAAATACACTGTTTTTTAATGCAGATTTGTAAAATTTAAGCTCAGTTTTGAGAGTTCAGGACAGTTCATGAAAGAGCATTTGGTCTTCTTAAAAGTTTCCCATCCCCAATTAAATACTTCATGGAAGAACAACAATTAAGCATACATTGCATTTTTAATTAGGAAATATTTGATATTGCACATTATACCAAGAAATACAAAAGTCTGTTTCAGCACGTTATTCCAGCAGCGCTATCAATTTCATTTTGATATCATCGACTTTTATACAAAAGTTTTAATTTTAGTGCATAACACGTGCCCTGTCATTACAGAGTCAAAACGTTATTCAAAGCAATTTCTAAAACAAAGAGGAAGAAAAAATTGGCTCCTTAAAGAATACAAAAGCCTTTTACCACGACTTCAGCACCGGTTTCCTCGTAGACAAAACCCGTTCCTATGGAAAGCTGTGGGATCACCTTGGCAACACACACTGGGATGCAGTTTCTAACGAGGAGCTGACCATGGACTATTTGGCACTGGAATTAACGACCCAAATCACTGGGGGCTGAAAGGCTGCCAGACCTGCCCATGCTGTTCCTGATCTACAGCCACCTCTCCCAGTTCCAGACGACACATGAGAGAGAAAAACCACACTGGGCAGAGCTGTGCAACTTCGTTATAGTCATATATAATTCTCTGAAGAAAACTCTGAAACAGATTTCTGTGCATAACACATACCCGTGAGCAGGGTTCGGGCGCTTCAGAAGGCACAGAACACTGAGAGGTAACTGTAAGGTGTATTTTTGTTTGCATTCACCCATCCTCCTGCGCTTCTCTCCGTGTTTACGGACCGAAGCACACCTGCACGGCCCAGGCAACACTTACTGATTAAAAAGCTACACCTTGAACCTCTCCCCATAACTCTCTGGGTCATAACACCTTGATTTTATGGTTTGCTTGGAAATAGGCATCTAAGACATCCCAGCAATAGGTTTGCAAAGCAAATTCTACAGGGATGGGAAGCGCCAGCTGCCTCAAATATCAAGGCAACCGACTCTATTGCAATGTTTTGGGAAATCTTAATATATTTCCCCAATCCTCCCCCCTTTAAAATATACACAATAAGACTAAGAAGACAGGATTATTCTTATTATTTTTGTGCCTGAATACATGATACAACTATCATGGAAGAGAAGATTCTACAGTGAAGTCCCTGAGATGCAACTGTACACTAAAAGATTCAAACAACCTCTTCAGCACTAACTTCATAGTTATTAGAAATGTTTTGTGTTGCAACACGTGGTTTAAGAAAACCGATGTTGTTATAAGAAGGTGAAAATACAGCAGATCAAGTTTGCCCTTATATTTAAGCCTTAATTTAAAAGTAATTAATTCGAGAGTAACATTCAACTATTTCAATTGTAGTCAAAAGTAAAAAGCATGGAAGCAATGGGGAGCCACTAAAAAAATAATGTTATATTTAGAATGAGTTGATTTGGCCTCTGTTTTCATCCCCCAAAAGCCCTGCCTGAATTTAACTGCTTTCCTCCTGAACATTGCCAGACAGTTAGTTCCTCAAACATATCTGAGCTTTATCTAAAGATGGCGGGATGAAGCAACAGCATTTTTTCACCATTTTTGGAAGCAAAAGGCACAGTTTCCAGGTACAGTACACTCAGCACGGATGCCAGAGCCCTCCCCCTGCCATGATGGCACATACCCAGCTGGTGGCAGAGGGAAGCTGACATCCCAAGCATTTTTTGGCATGGGCACAGCAGTTGATATCCTTCCAGTATTGGTTGTTTTTTTTTTTTTAAAAAAAGGAAAATGTCATCTCCTATGTATATTACTTTTTCAGTTACTTGGGGATCCACTGTATTTTGTGACCAGCTAATCAGAAATACTTTATCCACCTTCCCAAGCAAGCTCAGTTTTTCCTGCTAGTGAAGAAAACATAAGGCACTAATATATTAACGCTGTCAGGAATGTGAAATAGTTTGTTCTTCATGTACTGTTACACCAGTTCTTAGCAGCATCTCTCCTGAAAAGGCACTTAATACATGAGAAACAATGAAACTTTTGGAACTTCTGCTCAGCTAAAGCTACATCAAGTCATCTGCTCAGACAGCTGAGTGGCTTCGCAATTTCCCCTTCCCTCCCCCCACTCCTTTACAAAAAAAGGCACCTGATTTATCACTGGTTTCTGTAGCCACAGGTGCTTGCGACCATGCAGTTCTACACATGTGAGGGATGGGGTGATTATACTGGTATCTTGAAAAGATAACTCCTGATCATATAAGAAGCTACTATTCTAGCTACAGCGGTTTTGTTTCAGCAAAACCCACTACCAGTGGGTTCCTACCTGAGTAGTTCTTAAGGTTGTGTATTGCTAGTCAGAATGATTAAACTTGGTGTAAGAAATTGCACTTTCCCATTCCTTCCCCAAACCCAAGATAATTTCAAATTAAATACTAGACCCTTTTCTAAAGGGACATTTGTAATACAGCTACAAAGAGGTAGCTAAGTGGCACGTGCCAATTTTCTTTTCTTTCTTTCTTTTTTTTTTTTCCCCAAAGTATATTCAGCCTTCATTTGCAACAACATTTTTCAGAGGAAGTCTTAAAACAACAAATCTCTATTCAGGTGGCACTTGGAGTTACCACAGTTCAGAAGACAGAACTCCTAAGAGAACTTGGTCTCCCTTCACGTCCAGGGTTGACAACGAAGAGGCACGGGGGGTGCCCAAGTGACCCAGCGGGGTCAGCAGGGGTGTAGCTGAAGAGGGAAGGAATGGTGACAGGCTCCTCCTGGTAGAAGTGACTGGGAAGAACTGTTCAGATCAAGCCCACCATCCGATCGATCTGCCTCATGTAGTTACTCTTCAAGGGCAGTAGGTACCTCCTCTCGTCAGGAACTCTGTTACACTGTCAACAAAAGGAGAATATTTGTAAGGACTCCGATAGGAAAAGAGGTGACCCCGTTCCCTCTGCAACCCAGCAGGCATCACTAACCAGAAGTTTGCTGCCAAGTACAGAAAATTGTACCCAACAGGGCTTTTGGTCCCAGCCCTCCCTCGCTCTGTGCAAACCGCAGCACAAAGCCCAGAAATGAACAGCAAGTGTTTCCTTCCAAACACACGCCAAACTACTGCAGCTTGTTATTCAACTGAGGCTGCCTTCACTATGACAACTGTGAATGTTTTTTTTTAAAATAATGCTCTTTTTTTTTTCTGCAGGACTTGGGGGAGGAGGAAAGAAACCACGCTACAACCTACTAGTAGAGATTTTAAAAAATTGTTCTCTATTAACCACGTATCTGTTTCAGTTGGTGACAGGCACTGGATCCATAGCTCTGTACTCTTTGGGTGCCTGGGTAAGAAAGGTCACCTTTACAGGCCTCAAAACCATTCTGAGGGGAAAAAAAAGGTCTTTTTAAATGAAGCTCTGCATTTCTCTTTCCCCATCACAGCAACATTGGAAGATTTTAAGGGCAAAGAAAAGGGGAAGGGGAAAAAAAGAATTGGAAATAGATTAACAAAGAACAAACTAATTGCTGCAAAATAACTAAAAGGGGACACCTTCAATGTAATCACTCTCCCCTTACCCTCACCCATTCACTCTGCTACTGAAAGTGTTTTTCACAAGGGAGGTTCTCAGATATTTGACATTTATAAAGGCAACACTGCAGAACCCTAAAGCAACACTTCCAAATGGCTCTTCTACTGCCTAACCCAGTTCCACACACATCCCTTCTCCAGCACAGAACCAGGCCCACTCATATTCCTTACGTTAGAACTGAAGTTGACAGCCTTGAACTCATTTGGTTTAATTTTTTCTGCGCTGTCCTCTTCTCCAGGGAGGATGTCTTGCCACAGCGAGTTACGGAAACGTTCGTCCACAGACACAATATGTCCCTCAGTAGTAAACATATACTTATTTCCAGATTTATGCAGTGGATTCTCTTCATCAAACAACTAAAGAAGAGATGGGAGAGAGAGCTATAGTATGTGTGCAATAATCTTCACGTGCCATCAGCAGTAAGTTAAAACACACGCACTCATGCATTTAGAGGATCCTGCAAAAAGCACACTTTTTAGTGCTAAATGGGTAACTACTACTAAGGCAAATGGAAATAAATAGTTTTAATCCAAGTGATTTATTTTAACAGTTAAAGGAGAAGAGCAAAAGCAAAACTTCTCACACAACATAAACTGCCCTGCATTTCTAGCCTGGCATCCGCTGTTTCCATTCAGCCACAGATTTATTTGTTTTTCTACTCTAGAGGAGATTGAGAACAGTAGCTTAAGCAGCATTGGCTCAAATGCTTTCTCCTGTGAGTGCCAAAGCCTGATGGGGAGAAATTGGAGGCTGCTGCAAGGCAGGCAAAATGGCTACAAGCAGTAATTTAGCTCAGAGCTGAGCAGTAGCCTCAGCCTCGCTTCCTCTCCTTTCCAGTTCCCCCCAAAAAGAGCTGCCAGCTCTCCAGCCAGCAGCTTCCCAAACCTCCATGATCAGGGAAGAGTCAAAGAAAGAAAAGCAGCACATTCTCCGATACCTAAATCCCTCTCTTCCCTCAAGCACAGCATAGTTTCTAATTAACAGCATCCTGCCTCCTCGTCGTGCCGCGTTTGCGCACAGTGCATGCCAAGAGAGTTTATCTGAAATGAAGAACATGTACATACCAGGTACAAATATTTACACGTTTCACTAAGGAAAAAGCTCTCCATTCGATCTTCTTTTGTCTTCTCCACGACGTGGTGTAAGGTGGCGTAGCCACACCTGCAAGAGGTAAGATTAGTTTGGGCTTAGTTCCCCCACATTCTGATCTTGAAGCGCTCCCTGGATACTCCTGCACTTCAGCCCCCTGGGGTGAAGCTAAAATGAAACAAGTCTCAAGCACCTATTCCTGGTTTCTGGCATTCTGATGAGACTGGAATCATCGACCCTGTGGTCAATGCCAACAGTTGAATAAAAATTCAGTCTTCTCTCTGAGTAATGCAAGAAGTTCAGATACTCAGCATTACAGTCAGGATTCACTTCTACTGCCTTCAGATGAAAGCAGATGCTGTTGCTGATCAATCTCAGAGGCCATCCCTCCAACTTACTTAAACACCATGAGACCAGAAATATCCTTGCAGGTTCCACAGGAAAAAAAAAACCACACTACTAATTTTACCAGTTTTTAGCAACTGATCATCAACAATGCATTTTGAAAAGTAGCTATAAAATTCTGAAGGCATGAAGCTATCACTGGACTGTAATTTCGTTTTCAGATGAGAAAGAAGTAATTGCTCAATAAATAAATCATCACTTGTGGCTTTCTGGTTTACCTACATTTGATAGATTGGATTCTATATAATATTTATAGAATAAAGTACATGTACACAGCAGTGAGAGAAGACAAAGAAGACTGAAAACTGACTTTGCTTTTGTATATTTTTCCAAACTCTGCAGAATATCCATTCCCACATGAAGGTAAAATGGGTTCTTTGTGGCCTAAATAAGGAAGACAGACAAGAGTTAGAGTCAGCGATTTTGAAATCTCGTAAAAATAACACTTAGAACAAAGGCCTAAGCAGCACCAGATTCTTGTGTACTACAGTAAACTGATCTTTATAGGAACATCACTTAGATTACTCTGTGCAAGCCTCTCACATTTGCTTTAGTGCAAATCCTAATAAAACTTGTAGTAAATTCAAACTCTTTGATAGCTTTCTTGCAGCCAGGAAGTTATTTTCATTTACTGTATCTTCTGCCAGATGGAGACTGTGCCCAGACAATATAGCAAAGAAAGCTATTACATTTACTTCAGCAATTTCTATTAAGAAGTCTCTACCTTGTAAAAATGTGCCAGCTATTTTTTGAAAAGGTTGTTTAGTCTCACTTTTGTCTGTCTTATAAAAAGGGCTATTTTTTTTAAGCAAACAACACAGCAACTACATTGCATTACAATGCAGTGCCCAAACAGAGACCTCTGTATAAGAAGAGGCAGATCCAGAGGCACCACATTTTAGCAGCTCAGAGGGTAGGAAAAATGACTTTCTGAACGGAACCGTTTTTTGCCAAAATATGAGCTGTAAGCTCAGAAAAGTCAAGTACCTGATAAAGAAGATATGTGGATTCCACTAACTCTGGCCTCAGCGGATAAAAGGGAACATCGGGCGCTTGCAATTGCCAGTTGTATCTTTCTGGGAGAGCTCCGTATCGTTTCCATATGGCATAATAAAAAGCATGGAGACAAATAGCATCTTCCACATCTCCTATCAACACCTATGGCATAACAACAGCTGTAAACACGCCCGTGAAATACTGCAAGCCAGAAAATTGCTTCCAGCTCTGTATCAGAGCATGCCACGTAATAAAACACTCCCCTCATAAGGGGAGACAAAAATATAATCCACCCACCCCCCCAGAAAAGCTGATGTATTAATTTCTTCACACTAAAAGCTTCAGCAGAGCTCACCTTCACAGCATGGTATACAAATGGTGAGGTTAAAGGAGAAAAAACTAAAAGTAAGTCAAATCTAGCAGAGAGCAGGCCAGGCCTTCCAATATCATTACGCTGATGGAGAAGCTGAACTGCCCAAAGACTCTCCTATCAGAGCAGCCAGATGTGAACTCACGGTTTGAAGCTCATCTCAAAAGAGATGCTCAGACTCATTCACAGCCCAGGATTGGAACGAGCCTCTCTGACACCCCTCTACTGTGTCATTCAGTCTGTAGCAGAATGAAAGTTTACCTGTAGCCCAGGAAAAAAGGCTTGCAAAGAGTCAATCCACGTGTTCATCAGCTGTCCTGTCAGCATGTTCACATTCACGTACAGAGGAGGGTCACCCTCCCCTTCATTGCAAGCTTCTCGACTGCCAAGTAACAATAAGCACGTGTAAGTATTCACTATTTTAGAAGAACACACTGCACGTTTCATTTCACACCTCTGCCACCAGCAAAGAGAATGAGCCATGGATTTGTGTAACAAAGCCATTTTGAAAAGAACCAAAATGTCAGTCAGGCTTCTCAGAAAAATTAATTCACCAAGGCATGCACATCATATCCTTAAGTGATGTCATAGAATCTCGACCAAGAAGTCATGCCAGGTAAGATCAGGCCTTAAAAAGTACTAAACTAACCAATTTAATACATTTCCTTTTGAAGAACCAAAGTGTCAGTCAGGCTTCTCCGAAAAAATTAATTCACCAAGGCATGCACATCATATCCTTAAGTGATGTCATAGAATCTCGACCAAGAAGTCATGCCAGGTAAGATCAGGCCTTAAAAAGTACTAAACTAACCAATTTAATACATTTCCTTTTCAGTTCTACAGCCAGTTTAGTTTCTTTGCAGCAACAATGCTGTTCAGTTGACTAAGGAGAGAAAGGAACATTAAAATTTATTGCCATGGTGACTACCACGGAAGTAAGATTTTGGTTTTTAAAGAAAAAAAAAAAAAGAGAAAACATATTTTCTCGACCGTGACACAAAACACTATACAATCTCTTTTATCTTGCTGGAGTACTCAAATAACTCAAGTATCAAATAACATACCCTCTTCTTAAGTGGTTCTGAATGTTCCGATAAGCATCATTGAACATCTCCAAGTCTTCCTTTTCTCCAAAGAGGATGTAAGATTTCAGCAGGTATTCGTAGAACGAATCCGACCCTGCTCCCAGGCCACTCTGCTTTCCAACCCAATGGCCAGTCTGAATATTCACAACATTTCCTTTCAGAACAGACAAAAAGTTTAGTCTAAAGTTGCAAAGCACATCAAGAAAAATAAGAACCAGAAGTTAGAAAAACTACATCTTCAAAAAGTCTTAAAGAGGAATGACCAAAGATTACTAGCCAAATAAAGTGTTACAGTACATGAGCACACACGCACAGTTATTGTAAGTACTTTAGTTATCTGTCAATCTAAATTATGTTAATGGGGATACAAATGCAAGAACTTTAGTTTCATTTCCCAGTTTCATGAAAAATTTGTCTTTGGAAACTTGAGCCCTAAAGAAGTCTTTCAGATACTCCATTTTTCTTACAAAATTACAAAGTGTCATTTGGTCAGCACAAGCCAGGAGTACACAGGAAGAGCATGACTTCAGTTTATCAGTGACAAAAGTCCATGGTACACAACAGAAACCTGTAGCACGATGGCATTTGGCTACAGCAGAGTGAGAGGGGTTAAACCAGGGAGCCAGTCAACACAGCATCACCTGGGAAGAGATTACCCAGCAGTCCGGTGTTGTTGTTCCGGAGGCTCCAGAGGGCTTTGACGGCTCTCCTGGCCACCCACTCGAAGGTGGAATCACCAAGCAGCCTGCTGAGGATGCCAAACTCCACCAGCAAGGAACCAGCTCCTGCAGTACAAGTTTCATTATTGCTGTCTGGAGGTACCCCCTTCTTCAGATTCACCTGGGAAGCAAGTAGAGAGAGAGAATTCACAGCACGCAAGCAGGTACATCCCACACACCCCTGCTCTCACCTGCAGTATAATGTTCATTATAAAGCTTTTGTATTAATGTTTGCAATATGTAGTGTGCAACGTGCACGTAGTTAGAAAGGCAGTGTATCACTGCTTGGTCAAAAAGCCTTCCTGAAGTATCCCTGAAATTAATCTTCCAATTTTATAACATCATCCTAATTTAGTTACTCATAGAATCATAGAATAGTTTGGGTTGGAAGGGACCTTAAAGATCATCCACTTCCACCTCCCTGCCCTGGGCAGGGACACCTCCCACCAGAGCAGGTTGCTCAAAGCCCTGTCCAACCTGGTCTTGTACTTGTTAATCCTTCCAAATTTCAGTCCACTTTTTCATCATTTCTGCTGATCTTTCAAGGGTGATGCAAGCACTGCTCCCCCTTGCTTAGTGCTCTTGAAACCAAGAGTTTCCTCAGTGAATACTCCTCAAGTTCCCCTCGGTGTTCTGTTCCGTGGGGAAGTTACACCACCCTCAGCTACTCCAAACAGAAGTGAAAGATCATGTCTCTGCAGCCAGACAGGTCTGAAGGAAAAGCAGAGCTGCTGTCCCCAAAAATTAGAAGTAGTCAGGCAAGTGCTAATTACTTTTAGAGTTTAGAGTTGTTCCACTAAAACTAACATCCTTCTCCTTGAAAATTGCATCTGTTTAAAACGAGGGTCTTTCAAGGGTGATGCAAGCACTGCTCCCCCTTGCTTAGTGCTCTTGAAACCAAGAGTTTCCTCAGTGAATACTCCTCAAGTTCCCCTCGGTGTTCTGTTCCGTGGGGAAGTTACACCACCCTCAGCTACTCCAAACAGAAGTGAAAGATCATGTCTCTGCAGCCAGACAGGTCTGAAGGAAAAGCAGAGCTGCTGTCCCCAAAAATTAGAAGTAGTCAGGCAAGTGCTAATTACTTTTAGAGTTTAGAGTTGTTCCACTAAAACTAACATCCTTCTCCTTGAAAATTGCATCTGTTTAAAACGAGGGGACGCGGTATTCAAGAATATCACAGTATTCCTGAGTACTCACTGAGCAGCATTTGAGAAAGTTACGAATTCTGATCCCAGTATGACAAATGAGTTTCATTTTATCACAGTACCAAGTCAGCTCAGACTCATTCACAGCCCAGGATTGGAACGAGCCTCTCTGACACCCCTCTACTGTGTCATTCAGTCTGTAGCAGAATGAAAGTTTACCTGTAGCCCAGGAAAAAAGGCTTGCAAAGAGTCAATCCACGTGTTCATCAGCTGTCCTGTCAGCATGTTCACATTCACGTACAGAGGAGGGTCACCCTCCCCTTCATTGCAAGCTTCTCGACTGCCAAGTAACAATAAGCACGTGTAAGTATTCACTATTTTAGAAGAACACACTGCACGTTTCATTTCACACCTCTGCCACCAGCAAAGAGAATGAGCCATGGATTTGTGTAACAAAGCCATTTTGAAAAGAACCAAAATGTCAGTCAGGCTTCTCAGAAAAATTAATTCACCAAGGCATGCACATCATATCCTTAAGTGATGTCATAGAATCTCGACCAAGAAGTCATGCCAGGTAAGATCAGGCCTTAAAAAGTACTAAACTAACCAATTTAATACATTTCCTTTTCAGTTCTACAGCCAGTTTAGTTTCTTTGCAGCAACAATGCTGTTCAGTTGACTAAGGAGAGAAAGGAACATTAAAATTTATTGCCATGGTGACTACCACGGAAGTAAGATTTTGGTTTTTAAAGAAAAAAAAAAAAAGAGAAAACATATTTTCTCGACCGTGACACAAAACACTATACAATCTCTTTTATCTTGCTGGAGTACTCAAATAACTCAAGTATCAAATAACATACCCTCTTCTTAAGTGGTTCTGAATGTTCCGATAAGCATCATTGAACATCTCCAAGTCTTCCTTTTCTCCAAAGAGGATGTAAGATTTCAGCAGGTATTCGTAGAACGAATCCGACCCTGCTCCCAGGCCACTCTGCTTTCCAACCCAATGGCCAGTCTGAATATTCACAACATTTCCTTTCAGAACAGACAAAAAGTTTAGTCTAAAGTTGCAAAGCACATCAAGAAAAATAAGAACCAGAAGTTAGAAAAACTACATCTTCAAAAAGTCTTAAAGAGGAATGACCAAAGATTACTAGCCAAATAAAGTGTTACAGTACATGAGCACACACGCACAGTTATTGTAAGTACTTTAGTTATCTGTCAATCTAAATTATGTTAATGGGGATACAAATGCAAGAACTTTAGTTTCATTTCCCAGTTTCATGAAAAATTTGTCTTTGGAAACTTGAGCCCTAAAGAAGTCTTTCAGATACTCCATTTTTCTTACAAAATTACAAAGTGTCATTTGGTCAGCACAAGCCAGGAGTACACAGGAAGAGCATGACTTCAGTTTATCAGTGACAAAAGTCCATGGTACACAACAGAAACCTGTAGCACGATGGCATTTGGCTACAGCAGAGTGAGAGGGGTTAAACCAGGGAGCCAGTCAACACAGCATCACCTGGGAAGAGATTACCCAGCAGTCCGGTGTTGTTGTTCCGGAGGCTCCAGAGGGCTTTGACGGCTCTCCTGGCCACCCACTCGAAGGTGGAATCACCAAGCAGCCTGCTGAGGATGCCAAACTCCACCAGCAAGGAACCAGCTCCTGCAGTACAAGTTTCATTATTGCTGTCTGGAGGTACCCCCTTCTTCAGATTCACCTGGGAAGCAAGTAGAGAGAGAGAGTTCACAGCACGCAAGCAGGTACATCCCACACACCCCTGCTCTCACCTGCAGTATAATGTTCATTATAAAGCTTTTGTATTAATGTTTGCAATATGTAGTGTGCAACGTGCACGTAGTTAGAAAGGCAGTGTATCACTGCTTGGTCAAAAAGCCTTCCTGAAGTATCCCTGAAATTAATCTTCCAATTTTATAACATCATCCTAATTTAGTTACTCATAGAATCATAGAATAGTTTGGGTTGGAAGGGACCTTAAAGATCATCCACTTCCACCTCCCTGCCCTGGGCAGGGACACCTCCCACCAGAGCAGGTTGCTCAAAGCCCTGTCCAACCTGGTCTTGTACTTGTTAATCCTTCCAAATTTCAGTCCACTTTTTCATCATTTCTGCTGATCTTTCAAGGGTGATGCAAGCACTGCTCCCCCTTGCTTAGTGCTCTTGAAACCAAGAGTTTCCTCAGTGAACACTCCTCAAGTTCCCCTGGGTGTTCTGTTCCGTGGGGAAGTCACACCACCCTCAGCTACTCCAAACAGAAGTGAAAGATCATGTCTCTGCAGCCAGACAGGTCTGAAGGAAAAGCAGAGCTGCTGTCCCCAAAAATTAGAAGTAGTCAGGCAAGTGCTAATTACTTTTAGAGTTTAGAGTTGTTCCACTAAAACTAACATCCTTCTCCTTGAAAATTGCATCTGTTTAAAACGAGGGGACGCGGTATTCAAGAATATCACAGTATTCCTGAGTACTCACTGAGCAGCATTTGAGAAAGTTACGAATTCTGATCCCAGTATGACAAATGAGTTTCATTTTATCACAGTACCAAGTCACTTTCCTAGGCTATTTGCCTTTACAGTGTTTCTTTTTAACCTTCTTAATGACAGCACTGTTTGTTGCTCCATGATATATAGGAAGAAAGTGCAGGGCAGGGCACGTTCCAGCCAAACAAATGACTACTGACCCGAAGGGAACAACATATACCTCCTGAAAAAACAGGCTAAAGAAAATATTTATTAAACATAAGGAGCAGTTTATGTATCATGTCACCATAACTTGGCACACTTTGCTCCCCACACCTTTTTAACATAGTTTAGAGCAGGTTCAATACCCCAAGTGCACATATAAAGGCACACACAGGGCACAGAATTCAAGTTGCAGGACAGACAAATTACTACTTTTAGATTATCTGCCCCCCGTGTCGGTGTGCTCACTTACCCGGGGATATGGAATTCCAGTTTTGGTGTTCTCAAAGGCTGGAAGCAGCCTCACTGCCAGGTCATGAGCCATGTGCAGCAGCTCATTGTCATAATCCTTAATGGTCATATCACCAAAAGGCTGTTTGGTGTCTGTAATTATGATGTGGGCAGAAAGAAGGCTTCCCAAAACCCTGCAGGGAAAAAAGAAAAGATCTTCAGTTTTAAAATCTGCTCTGAACCTAGCTCTTCAGCTAAACCCTTATGAGTGTGATGTTGAACAGAAATATTACTTTGTGCACCTTATATGCACTACAGAAAAATCTGCTTATTTCCCCACCGGTAGCAAAAACATCTAGAAGCCACGTTGCTTGTCACCCACAGTAATCCCAACATCCAATTCTGCAAAATTTACCTAACTCAGTATCTCCTCACCATTTACTAAGTCTATTTATGAAGGCAGACCTCCTCACCCCTGCAAATGGCAGTAAGGTTGTTACGTGAACTCAGCATTCAGAAAAAAGAAAGACTAGTCAAGTTGAGCAGCAATTGAATAAAGTGTTTAAGATATGCAGAAAATGAAGCCATTTAAAATCAGACTGTATCTTAGACTCATCTCCACTACAGACAGGCCTGTTTTCTCATCTAAAAGGAAAGTGAAAGCAAGCAGAAGGTCCATGGAAGAAAACCAGAAAAGGGAAAGCCTGTCAGCAGAGCTGTTTGCTGTGCTCAGATCCGAGTCTCTGCTGCAAGAAGAACAAAAAAGCAGCAGTCTGCAAACCACACACTGCTGAGACCCCCCTGTATCACTGCTTCATGCCACGTGTGCTTCATTAAAAGTGTTTCAATTATGAAAGCATAGAATATTTTCATAAACGGTTAAAAACCAACTTACTCAAGGAACAGTCATGGAATAAAGCCTACCAAAAGTATCCTTATTAATGATTTCACTGTGACTCTCTCATATATGAATACCAAGTCGTTAACCTTATTGCTATTTTAAAGGCAGAAACTCAGAGGGACGTACCTGATTGTTGCCTCAAAAACTTGGACCGTTGAGTCTTTATCAAATGAAACCGTGTCAATCACCAACTTCACTGCTTTCTGGAATTCTGAGGAGTTTCCCATTACCTTTTTACATAAAAAACAAAGACTGTTTTGTCTAATTGTTGCTTCAGAAGAAGGGTGGGGAAGAGAATGGTGAGTTCACATTTTAGACCAACAGTCACATTAATGAGATACAGAAGAGAGTATTTCAAGCTCTTACTAAAAAGACTTTCCAAAAAGTTACCAATCCTACTGACATGTAAAAGCACATTTCCTTAAAACAAGGAAACCCACAAAGACACATTTTTGGCCATTATACTAACCTATCCCCTCACGTATTCTTCCACTCCCAGCATCAGCCTTGTGGTTGATCTCTTACAACATGAGTCTAAAAACTCTTAAGAACCACCCCACAGAGTGTTTTAACTGCTTATCAACTGGATAAGTTTAGCTGAAAAGGTAACACAATTTGCAGAACAATGAAGTCTGATTTGACATTAATTTGACCAGGGGAGTACAACCTTTTGAGTTCTTGACTTGACACTGCACTCCATGCCCAGGAGTTTTGTTGGGCCAGTTTTCTATAGGTACACCCCAACAGCTGATTTCCACTACACCCAGACAGACATTCAGCCCCAGCTTCAAGGAAGCAGAAACTCGGAAGGAACACACAGGTTCCCACTTGCATAAGCTCATGATGAGGCTGGAAACCCAGCTCTTTAACCATCAAAACACCATGCATCAGTTTGTCTGCTCTCTCCAATACCCAGACCCAGTGGGAAAGCATTCACACAGATCTGAGAGGACGAAGAGCAAACCAGGCCTTCACCACACAGAAGCTTCTGAAACACAAGAGACTCTAGGAACCAGAAGTTTTATATTTGAGAAAAAGTTATGTACTGCTGTACAAGGTACGGATAGGACTCTGAGGACAGGAAGGGAACTGTCGGGCCATGCCACCATCAGAGCACAGATGGTGTGTGTTTACATCACAGCTGGTGATGTAAAGAAACTGCTGTTTCTTTAACAGAAACCAACTTTTTCCTCACTTCCTCCTTTCAGTTCTGTTCGTTGCTGCCACGTTCGGTTGCAACCGTCTCCCCGCAGAGCTGCAACTCCACCGCAGCAGAGGAAGGATTTCATAACCTGAAGCACACATACGGTCCTTGCACATACCACCTTCTCCACGAGAAGAGAGAAACTCACCAAGTATCCACTTCAGAAGGCCAAGAACCTGCCCTGGCTGCAAAGGTGAGACCGTGAAACTTACAAGGGTTTCTAAATACACACAAGGAGTTCAAGGGGCTCTTCTCCATGATACCATACTCCTGGTGCTAACATAAAACTCAGTTTCTTCTCACATTATCTTCAAATTTTATCAGAAATGCACATAATGGTCTATCTTTGCAGGTGAGAGGCAGCTTTACAGCTTTTTCCCCTCCTTCCTTTCACCACTCCTCATACAGATGTATGTGTCAGTCCAGCTCTCTCTGCCAAGCAAAACAAGTGGAGCTCTCCCAGTCATCTTGACTAAGACAAATCTCTTCCTGACGTATCTCTCAGCAACATGTGCACATCCCAGTTCAAATCCCCCCTTCCTAAACACCAGAGTGGTGGCAGTATCCCAAGAGATCTCACCTGAGCCCTGAGGAAGATCTTTGAGATTTCCTCTGTCTCTTCTGAAAATCCCTGCTGATATATCCCCACGTCCACTTATCCTCCCCTGCACAAGTAACACACTGCTAGCTTGTGACCCAGCCGTTAGCTCCACCTCCTCAGAAGGGAAAGATTTAATAACCTCCAGCTTACAAACTGTTACACCTTTTACTTCAACACTGCTGAAGTTCATTACCATTTTAATCGCTTCCTCACCATGTCAGCTCATCTGCTCTTCACAGTAAGAATTAATCTCCATCGCCATCAGCAGCTCTGCATGAACCATCAGCACTTTTTGCATTAACAACATTAACATGCAAAAACTACACAGCACTGGTCCCACGGCAGGTCCTTGGAAAATGCCACGGAGTAACTCCATCCACTTTGAAACTCTCTTTTGCTGTCTTCCTTCAACTTCTCACCGAGTTTCTCTACCAAGCAGCCCTCTCTTCAGCTCCAATAGCCTCATTTTCCCCTTTAACTCCTTCCTTCAGAATCCGTTCCAGCACAATGCCCGCTGTCAAGGTAACAGCTCAGGACCATGCTCCCACCTCAATCCCACAACCAAGACCTGCAGTTTCATTTCACAGCCCTTCCAAACAAAGCTCTGTTCCCCAGAGGGAGCTTTGACTCCCCGTTTCCCACACTGGGGTTGGGAATAAACCCCCCGGTGCATAGCACCAGGCGTGTGTTTCACTGCTAACAGCTGGATTAGCAGAACAGAGCAAGCCAGACCCACACACATTCAACAGTATCTGGGGTTTCTCGTCTCTCAAACCCTCACATCCAACTGACTTCGGCCTTTCAGACATTAATGTCCATATCCTGCTAAGGGGCTGCCTTCAGAGTTTAGTTAGCAGAGAGTTACTCTTTGGCAAAAGAAACATAGAATAGAATCATAATCATTTTGGTTGGAAAAAGCCCTCAAGATCGAGTCCAACCGTTAACCCAGCACAGCCAAACCCACCCCTAACCCGTGTCCCTCAGCACCACGTCTGCCCAGCTTCTAAATCCCTCCAAGGATGGTGACTCCACCACTGCCCTTGGCAGCGTCTTCTAATGTTTGACAACCCTCTCAGTGAAGAAATCTTTCCTAATATCCATCTTAATGCCCAGCCTCCCACCCCAGAGCAACTTGAGGCCATTTCCTCTTGTCCCATGGCCTGTTCCTTGGGAGAAGAGACCGACCCACCCTGGCTACCCCCTCCTTTCAGGGGGTTGGAGAGAGCCAGAAGGTCTCCCCTCAGCCTCCTTTTCTCCAGGCTGAACACTCCCAGATCCCTCAGAAGTTCTCCAGACCCCTCACCAGCTCCGTCGCCCTTCCCTGGACACACTCCAGGCCCCTTAATGTCCTTCTTTTTCTGAGAGGCCCAAAACTGGACACAACGCTCGAGGTGCAGCCTCTGTGTTCAGTTTCAGACCCCTCACATCCTCGCTACGTTAATGTATCTTTAACCTAATCCACAAAACCCAGTTTGTTCGTTCCAGCTGCCGACAGGAACCTCCTCGAGCTTCCCTCCTGATCCAATCTGGGGCGACATCGCAAATCCCCAGCCCCCCGGTACCGCCAAGCGCAGACATGGCAGCCGGACGGGCCAAAGTCTTCCTCAGAGGAAGAAGCGAAGCCCAGCTGAGGGGTGCCGAGCTCCTCAGGGCCAGGCCCGGCACTGGGGGTGCCCCTCCACCTTCCCCCCCCCCAGGACTCACCGCCAGGGTGTCCAGCGCATCGATCAGCGTCAGCGAGTAGTTTCCCAGGACGTCGTTGATGTTGAGGTTGGTGCTGGAAGAGAAGAGCTGAGCGTCAGGCCCCGCCGCCACCGGGCCTGGCTTCCCCCCCCCCCCCCCGCCATTCCCCTCAGC